TTTGAATTTAATCAGTAACTTTTGTTTGATTATTCATGATGTAATAAGACAAATTATGACAATAATTTTTAAAACACAATTTTGTATAAAAAAACAATATGAAATATTTTGAGTTCCATCTACCTCAGATAAAAAAAGAACCATCAATTTCTCTCCTCCTCCAAAAAAGGAACCTGAGCAAACCTCCATTAAAACTTTTGTAACCAAAGATACCATTGAAATAAATATGAATAAAGAAACTTACGCAAATGCTTTAGTAGAGGAAATAGCAATTAATGGTAGACCATTTACCTTCATAAACGATAGTGACTTAAGAAAACATTTAGATCAGAATTAGGAAAGTTTAAAAGTTACAGTATCAACAGGCAGGTTAGAAGCTCTTCTTTTTGAAGAAAAGGGACTGTAAATTATATCTAAAATTTGTGAGAAACATAAAAATAATTTATTAAAATTAAAATTTGACATTGCAACTAAAAATGAAAAAAAATATTAATGTCTGAATTTGCAGAATGTGGAAAATGGAAAGATTAAAATATACAGCTTAGTTAGGTTTTATGAACTTTAATAATGATGTTATATATATATATATATATATATATATATATATATATATATATATATATATATATATATATATATATATATATATATATATATATATATATATATATATATATATATATATATATATATATATTCTTTAGGTATTTCTATAGGTGCTATAGAAATACAAGAAGAACACTGAAGAACACTGGATCACATTTAGTGTCAGAACTAGAAACGTTTTTCAAATTAAAATTAGAAAATATATGATAATGTTTGGAACCTATAGAAGAGCAAAAGAATTGTTTAGAAGTAGAAACTTTGTTATTAGAAAGAGAAGAAAATCATGAGAGAGATGACCATGGAGTTGCAGCAATGGAGAAAGTGATAGCAAGCAACATTCTAATACAGAATTCAAAATTTAAAGAAAATTGATAAAAATGATTTGACATTAGATGATAAAGATGAGATATTATTGCAAAATGCATCAGAAAAAGAAAGTAGAGCTTACGAGAAAAACAATGAAACAAATAAGAAAGAAATAGCAAATATTGATAAAATTAAAAAATTACCTATTCAAGTTGTGGAATTTCTTTTCATCTAAATTTAATTCTAAAGGAATTTTGGTAAAAGTATTAGGATGTTCAGCCCACACTTTGGATTTTGCAGTTATTCCTATTGTAGAAAAGTTATTTTAAAACAATGACTTAATCAATAGATTTTGAACTGCTAAAAAAGTTTTATAAAAACACCACAATGCCATAAAGAATCAAAAAGTTGGAACATGAAATGACCGATTTTAGATGTTTTGACTGGATGGTCCTCAACTTATGATATGTTATAATCTATTATGACATATAGAGATCTATATAATAAATTAAGAGAAAAGAATGATACATTTGCATTATCATTGCAACTGTATCTTGATTCAATACAATGTTATATTTATTATTTCTATTATATATGTTATACTTGATTTTTTCAAAGTCATATAAAATGCAAATATGACAAATATGAAAAAATAAAGCACAAAAATATGTTTGCTAAAACATTCTATAAGGTAATGTGTTGAAGAAGTCATGAAATATTATATAAACCTGTATTTTGTTGCTGGATTATTTCTTGATCCATGGTATCATTGTTAATTAACCAAAACTCAAATTAACTCAAAAAAGAAATGGCATTACCTCATCTAGAAATATTGGATCTAAGGTTACTAAAATTAAAACAGAACTGAGTTACAAAACTGAGTTACAAAATAATGCAAGAGTTTTATAAATTGAAATAAAATGGCACAAGTTATTCTAGGTATATGAAATGGCACAAGTTACTCTAGGTGTACCATCAACTCAAGTATCAGTTGAACATTTATTCAGCTATGAATCTTTAAGATTCATAGCAAGTCCTCTCAGTACTTAAGCATTACTTAAACAACTTTGGGTGAAAAAGGGGTTTTGGAACTCCTGGTAATAATTAGGGTTCAGAAACATGATTGTGACATGTTCTGGAACCCTGTGGGGTTCCAAACCCTTTTTTACACAAATGGTTTCAGAACCCTAGTTTCAGAAACCCAGTTCAATGAGTTCTAGAACCCCAAGGTTTTTCAAACCCTGTTTTGCAATAAGGGTTCCAGAGACCATTCTCCAAAAACCTCTTATTGTTGGGGTTCTATAACTCTGAATTTAGGTTGGGTAAATTTAGTTCTAATCCCTGGTATAAATATAAATAAAAATAACTTTTTGATTTTAAAACGCAGTATGGTTGTTTTTTAACATATTTATGTATGTATTAATTAAATCTTTATTTGATTGTATTGTAAATCTTTATTAGATTGTTCATTTATACTCCACCAAGCTTTAGCTGATTTAAAATACATTTATAGAATAAAAGAAATTTTTTGAAAATAAATATACTAAATACCCAGACATATATACAGGATATAAGTTTATCGTATCTAGTGCATACCCAATCAGTTCCATTAGTGTTTTTAGCTATTTTCCTGATAAAGTTCTTGTCAACTAGCTTGTCTTTGGTGATTTCATCTATATGCTCTCTTATTTCTAATTATGTATGAATAATAATATGACACATGTTTTTATGCAGTCTAAATTATTTTCTTGTAGTATTAGTTATTATTATTATTATTATTATTATTATTATTATTATTATTATTATTATTATATATAACTATACTGATATGGTACTCTATTATATAACTATACTAGTATCAGGGTGTTAACTAGATATTAATTTGATGAGCTTGATAAAGAGAAGCAACTTTAGCAGATACTAATTTTGCAACGGATTTGATATAAGGTTTCCAAGAAAGGTCAGAAGTAAGAGTTAATCCTAGAAGATGAAGGGTAGGAGACTCATCGAGTACATTACCGTTCATTAATATAGGAAGGTCTAAATTATCGCGATAACGGTTGGCTGAAAAAAATTGAGTTTTATCTGAATTAAAGTTCACCGGCCACTGTGAGCCCCATGCTGTAGCAGAAGTGAGATCCTTTTCAAGCTCAGATGCCCCCTGCAAGCAATCAGCGGGAGTTGGCTTCTTATTGTGACAAGAATAAATGGTAGTATCATCAGCAAACAATGCCACCTTAGATGTGAGAATATCTGGAAGATCGTTAATGTAAATTAAAAAAAGTATAGGGCCAAGGATTGAACCTTGAGGAACCCCTGAGGTTACAGAATAAGAAGAAGAGTGCTGTCCATTGAGGACAACTTTTTTACTACGATTGGAAAGGAAGGACTCAATAATCTTAAAGGTGTTTCCAGATACACCGTAAGGGAAAGCTTATGGAGAAGACCAGCATGCCAAACTTTATCAAACGCTTTTATGTTTTAAATTTAAATTTGTTTTAAATTAAAACAAGCAGTGAATCTGGTTTTTTTGTTTTTTATATTTCTAGTACCAGTTTGTTGTAACAAAAGAAAAACATTCCTGTTATTAAAAGTACTTAATTTAAGTTTTAACATACCTATTTAATTTACGTTTTAAAAAAAAGGTGAAACTAGAAAAAAAGAAATAGCATTTGGGGGTTTTAAACCAAGCAAATATGTAATTTTTTAAATTGTATTTTATCTCTTGCTAACTTTTTTAAATAATATTTGCTGTTGTTGCATTGCAAAAAATTATTTGCAAATTTTGAGAAAATAATTTTTTTTTCCTGGCGAATATAAGGATTTTTGGAAAATCCCAATTATCAAAAAGTTTTTTTCAAATAGATATTTTTGCAGTTATGCAATTGCGTAGTTATACCAATAACAGCAATTTTATTTCAAGTTTTTTATGTTATTTTTCTATTAGTTTTTAATAGTAATTGATTTTTAGAATTATAATTAAGTTTTAATTAGGCAAACTTTATTTGTAGAATGAAATTTTTGTTGAGTTTTATTGCTTATTGTTGTTGTGTTTAGAAATGAAATGTAAATAAAACTCATAATTTATTGTTGTTGTGTTTAGAAATGAAATGTAAATAAAACTCATAATTTATTGTTGTTGGGAATATTTTACTATAAAAAATCATCAATTAAAAATAAAATGAATAAAATAAGTAAATTATATTTTACACAAGTAAATTAAATAAACTAAAAAATAATAAGAATTTTCAGTAAAAACACTGCAGCAAACATTTTTCTAAAGTTGTGTTCTAAACTAACTTTGTGGTTTATTGGTGTTTTGTTCATTCAGAATATTCTCTTTATTTAGATGTAATGAAAATATTTTTTATTTAAAATTAAAATTAAAAACTATTACTAAAGAGATCAGTCAGAAACTATTTATAATATTTATTTTTAAATGTGCTATTTAGTTTTTATTAAATACTAAGAAAAAGGTTTTATAAAAATAAAGACCATAAAAAAATAAAAAAATAAAATTGCTATAAAAAAATAAAATGGCTGCAAAATAAAAAGATTATGACTATTTTCAATAAACTGATTTTTTTGATTTCTATTAAGAAAGCAGAATTGAATATATTAATTTTAATTTTCTGTTTTCATTTTTCTTTTATTTGTTTAAATATAGGTTGCTAACCTATAATAATTAAAATGATTAGTAGTGAAATAATAGAGTTATGACGAAAATGATGTTTCCCAAGACTAACTGTGATAAAAGATAGCAAACAGAAATTACTTTTTAAAAGTACACATTTGCACAGGCCAGTATAGTAATGAGCCTCTGACCTTGCTGTTTTTAACCAATAGAATAGTACTATTTAAATAAACCATGAACCTAAGTTAGATCAGACAAAGGGAAGATTATGTTAAAAGTAAGTGAGGCAAAAATAGTCAAGACAAAGATTTGGTGAAGTGAAATAAATTAGGAGGTTCACAACATTAAATATTGAATTTAAATGCAATTTAGTTTTCATATAGATATTGTTTTAAAATGTTTTAAAACATTGTAGCAAAAGTATTTAAAAGTATTTTATTTTAATTTTTTATAGAGAGTCTGCTGAAATATATCTATCAAAAAGAAATCTTAGCTTCAACACCCATTCAGTATTTTTGGAATCATCAAAAACACCACTCCCTCTCTCTTTTGATACATTTCATTTTGGTGGAAATATTCTTCATGTAAAAGGCATGTAACTTGTTACTTCATGTTTGTTCATGTTTGTTACTTTGTGTTTGGTTATGTTTGAAATTATGTGTTTGGTTATGCTATTGTCAAATAATTTCTAAATTTTCACTGTAGTTTTTTAATGTGAAAACTTATGACTTTCATTCCACTATCTGTATTGTTCATACAATTTAACTTATATTTTTTTATATTATAAGTTTTACTTATATTAGTATTATAGATTTTACTAAAAGTTTACTAAATAGTAAATTTGCAAATTATTACTTAAATAAAAGTATTTACATGCCTAACTGACTCCAAATTTAATAATAACCATTGGGATACTAAAGTTTTTTAACAGTTCAAACTAAAGGTTTATAGCTAATGTAAAAATTTAAAGTTTAATTTACAAGCTGTAAAAATTTACAGTAGTCAAAATACAACTTGACTAATACAACTTTTAATGAGTTTAATAAATCTAATTAGGTTTATTCATATAAGAAAGTAATAAAAAGGATTTAATATTAAAAAAAAAAATGTTAAAAACAGAGAAAGTATTTGTATTTATTTTAACAAATACACATTTCTTAATAAATTCAAACTTTAACAATGCTTTTTATTAGATGTTGGTGTAATTTGGACACAATAATTGTTTAAAAATATATTAGCAAGTGTGTTGCAATATTTCTGGGTATATTATAGTAAAAATCAGAAACTAGAAAAAAGATGTCACTCAAGTACTTATGACAAACTTTATCTTTTATTGATCAAAACAATAAAAAACTTTAAAAAAATCATTAGCATACTTAAGGTTTGATGGAGGTCGCCACATACATTAGATCTGATGAAGGTCACCGCTAACATTAGATCTGATGGAGGTCTATCTAAAGACTAATGGTAGTCACTAAACTAATTTGATAATAAGTAATGTTCTAACAAGATGTTTTCATTATATTCATTTTTAGATACAGAACCAAAATATATTTCAAAGACATTTTGTGGTATTAGAAATTTTAGCACTAGTTCTCCAGTACTTTCTATAAGATAAGATTTCTATAAGAAACTTTCTATAAGATTCCAAATGCTTTTTTAAAAGATTAACATAGTCAAACAGTAAATACATCCCATTCTCCATTTTCTAAGGCTTTTCTGGAGTAATATGATATTTAAAGATTAATGGTAAGCAGAAAATCTCTGTGGACCATCATTGCACTTTTTTATCTAATAAGCTGGCATAGATGTAAACTTGTGTTGCATTGTTTCCTGCCTATGTATGATTAGCACTGGATTATCTTGACTCTACTCATGTTTTTTTGCCACCTTGGTAGTGGCTATGCAACTCTTTCTGTTATCTCCTAATGAAGGTACAGTTTTAAAACTCAGTTTAATGCTTCAGAGGCCAGCTGGTAGTAAGGTTAACTGAACTCTTTGGTAGCACTTAAAGAGGCTGATTCCATCAACAGCTGTAAATTATCATAGTATTAACAGTGCCATGTTGTGCACTGGATAATGCACCTAAAAACATTAAAAAACAAAAAAACAGTTACTTGTTTCAATCTTTACAAATACTTGTGGTTTTTAAAGAAACTTTTTATCTGTTAAAATTTCCTCATACAAAAATTCTCTTGACTTTGATACTTGCTCTTTGTGAAAGTTCTGCTATTATTCTTTTATTAATCATAAAAATTCCAATATTCATATGATTACCCTGGACATATAACAACATAATAATTCACCTATATTTCACAAAATCATGTTTAAACTATCTAACTTATCTTATGTGCTTGTGATTAGCACAAGAACATAAAGGAATAGTGCTTGTGATTATTTCACTCAATCAGATTTCTTTTTGTTATTTAATGTTCTTCTTTTTTCCAAAACTGTACTCTTTTTGATGTTGCTTCAAATCAAATTGACTGAGCTTCTCTTCGAGTCATTTTCTCTTTATCCTTTAGCCAATATTGTTCTTATTGATAACTTTAGCTTATAACACTGAACACTCTAATTACTTAGATTGTTAACTTTTTGACTAGTTTTTCCAAACAATCACTTATTCTAAATTTTAATTTTTTCCAAACAATCACTTATTCTAAATTTTAGTGTCTTGTCTCTGACCCTTAGTTTTTCCTTGTACTCCTTTCAGTGGTTCAGATCATATCATGATAACACTAAAATTTTTATCTTGTACATTTTTTAAATCAAGTTCACCTTATGATTGCACATCATACTACAATATTAAAGTTGACTGGGATTAATTTTATGATTTTCTTTGTGATAGTCCTTGGGCTGATGTTTTTCTTTTTTTTTGTTTGAAATTTTTTACAATTTCCTTTTGGTGGCATGGATGCTTTTATTACTTTTTATCAGTTAAAATTGTTGTAGTTATCTTTTGTTCCTTCAACCTAAACTCAATTTTTTATGACTGCTATGAGTCCAGCAAAGTTGCATCTTTTTAGTGTAATGTTCCTTAATGCTCAAATATCTTTTGTTTATCTAGTTTTTTCTTTTTGCAAACATCAATGCTTTTAAATTTTTCTCCTGTTTTCATGTTTTCCTGGCGTTTATAATTTACAATTTTATAAGTCTTCTATCCTCTTTAGCTCTCTTTTTTATTTTCTGTTAACTTTTAACTTAATAAGAGTCTTGTTGATAAATTTGTTTAAAAAATAAAAAAATAAAAAAAATTTATTTGTTCTTACAAAAAATTTGAGTTTTATTTTGAAATCAAAATCATATCATATAGAAGTTTAGGAGCATTTTGAAGACAAACTGCCATAAATCCAACTTAGTTTTAGCTAATAATAAGGGTGAGCAAAACCAGATATCCGATCTGGTTTTTTAAAATTGGATTAGGATTTAACCGAACTGGATCCAATATCCGGTTTTAAAATCTGTAATTAGAACTTCCAAATATGGATGAGCATAACAGGTAATCTGGATTAGGCTAATTAAAATAACCCCTAGTTAAAACTTCCGACTCGGAAGTTTTAACTAGGGTAAGAAAAGCCAGATATCGGATCCGGTTTGGTTAAATCCGAATCCGACTTCTAAAAACTGGATTGGATATCCGGTTTTGCTCACCCCTATATATCATTTTCTGACCTATTTTATGTATTATTTAAGAATTAAGTATCGAGTTCTGATTAAACTTTTTGTATAGATAGTATAATTGTGGAATCAAAATATATGATACTTATCTTTTTGAAAACACAACAGTTTTCTCATAATGCTAAATTTTAAATTTTTTTAAAGGTTTTAACTTTTAAGAAATAACCCATTTATTTGCTATGTATTTTTTTTACAAAGAGAGCTTTTAATATCAGAATTTTACATAGAATTTGTTGGAGTATTCCATTTATTGGTACTTTAAACTGATCCACCTGAATTTTGACATTGAAAAATTAGGCTAATCCAAACATTGTTGGAATTGGTTTGTATCCCTATATTTTAGCATTTATTTAATAAGTTATACGTAAATTAAATTTAGTAAATTAAACCTCATTCACCTTACAACATAATGATTGTAGTTTCTGCTTGAATAACTTTTTGGTTTTGTTTGTTTTTTGAGAAAAAGAAAATATTTTCCTTAAACTAAGTTTTTACAGATAAACATCGTTTCTTTATTTTTCTTTTTATCTTTTGCTGCATCACTTTTATGCTGTGATTGACGTTGATTGATTGTGTTTAAATATGAATTTTATATGATTTTTTTTTTTGAATTTCTTCAGTTTTCATTATAGTTCATCTTTATAAGAAAAAAAACCCATCTGTTTCATATGCTCCAGAAGTTACTAAGGGTAATCAGACTCTATCTATTGACTAGCTTTGCACCCCTTCTTCATCTATTAGGCTAGCATAGATGTATTTATAACACATTGTTTCCAGTTTAGGTTGTTGAATGTTGGATCTTCTTGACTCATTGCATGTGTTTTGCTTGTGTCTCTTTTGCTTATATTTTTACGACTAGACAACTCATTCTATTATCTCCTAATGAGGGTACAGCTCTATAACTCAGTTTTATATTTTAAAACAGTAAATGTATTGTTCATCAATTATCTTATGTTTTATTTTACTTTGGTAAAGCATTATTTTTACATATAATTTTTTTTTTTTTTTACGCATATATTTATTAATAAAGGGATTCTCAAGTGCCGAGACAAATTGGTGTAATTGCTCAACTTTACATGAATAAAAATACGTGAGCAAAATTGCTAAAAATGTGTGTAAAGCTGACCAATTATCTAAGAAACGCTGAGTAAAAGCAATTGCTTTTTATTCACCCAAGCTAATAAAAAATGTATGTAAGTATTTAAATTATAAAATAAGTTTTGTTTTAATTAAAATTACCAAATCAGTTTATTTATTGAGATATTAATAAAAAAGCATTAATTGTTGTGCCATATATTTGTACAGTATGTAAAAAAAAATCTTTGATTTTTTTTTTAATAAATTAAAAAAAAAGAACTAACCTTCAAGAAAAAAAATGGTCTTAAAATCAAAACTTACCTTTGAGAAAAAAAAAAAAATGGCGTTAAAAATTATTTATTAAAAAGTTTTTTACTTATATTTTGATAAATACTTTGTTTTGGAACATTTAAATAATATGAAACTTATTTTTTAAAGATTATTTAAGATATGTAAACACTCAGCACTTAGAGATCATCTTAATTATTTTATCTATTTCACCTAAAAATCTAGTTTAATTTATTTTATAAACTCTATTTAAGTAAGCATTAAAATACTTTTCTTTTATATAGAAGAATACATGCTAAAAAGTTTCTCTCAAAAAGTTTTCTCTCCATAAAGTTATTATTTTATATGAGATTTTTGTTAAAGAGTTTAAACAATTACGCTCATTAAAATATTTAAAATTTCTAAATATAGCATTTTTTCATATGGTTATAAAAAAAACAGAAAGAAATTTTTTTTTTTTTAGAATTTAATTTTTATCCAATTGTTTTGTGTAATATGTTTTATTGTAGAGTATGATAAGTTACTTAAAAACAATACTTCTAAACGAT